AAAAAAACACATTATGGTTCTGTAAGCCTATTTTAAGATGCTTGTCAACACTTTCGTGTAAGATACTTGAATTTACATATTTATTTATTTATTTCCTTTGGACAATATCGCTCTCGTTTCTTACATGACATACGTGGTACTTTAAAAGTTTTCTTCATTTTCTTTACTTGTGTAAACAAACGTTGGTATTTTGACGCTATAACGCATTATAATTTAATTAAATATTTCTTCTTTCCTTCGAAAAATAATTTTTATTATGTTTTACATTTTCCATTCTTGGCTGAAACAATTGTCTTCACTTTTGTTGTTTTTTATGTTTTTTTTTAATTTAATAAATTTTTTGTAACAAATACATATTTATGTAAGTATATATAAGAAATCAGTCATGCGAAAAGAATCACAAAATACCACTTACCATACATACTATACGAGAATATGTATGTCTACGTATGTATGTATGTATTTACGTAAATATACATACTATTTTATGAGAAAATTATACACACATATTTTCAGATTAAAATAAATAAAAAACGAGATAGGATCTCTTCGCAATTTGAATTCATCTAAAATTAAAAAAAAAAGATTCAATTTTAGTTAGTTAAATATTGTATATACAACAAACATATCTTTGGTCCTCTAACGACACAATTCAAAACTCACAAAATAAAAACTGTCACTACTGTTAAGTGGCTCATGTATCTAATCTTTGTCTAATCCTTACTAATTACTTTAATAAGGATTGGAGATGGATTAGACAAGAATTAGAAACATGAGTCCCTTAACAGTAGTAAGGGCTTATATTTTTTGAATTTGGAATTGTGCCGTTATTGCAGAGGATCATCGATATGTCATTTCATTTACTTATTTGCTCAAGCTCATAAAATAGCTTAGTCGCTTGCTTAAGCGCACAAATAGATACATATTGTTGTTTGAGTTCAATAATTTTTCAGCGATAAACTTTGCAACTTTTGAATTGGTCTTAGAGTCCAGCCCGCTCATGATCGCGACCTTTAAGCTGCTGAGTCATTCATAATAGATTAACTCGAAAATATGCAATGCTTTGCTTTAACATGCACGGATATGGTCTATGAAATATTTTTTTTTTTTTTTGCACAATATATTAAAAAGCATCAGTTGTTCAAAAAAAAAAATTAATCGTTGGACTAACTAATTAAAAATGTATAAATATGTAAATGAAATAAAGTTCTTTGGTTATGAAATATCTACATACAATTTCCATTTTTTTTGTATTCAATTGTGTTTAAAACCGCTTTCGGGTTATTCGAAAATGGATATTTGATTTTTTAAATCAGGAGAAAACGAATAATTTTTGAATATATTTCTTTGCATATCGAATGAAAAATATTAGTAGCTCGCCCTGAGACACATCTGCATAATTAAATAAAAAAAGGGTGAAAAGCAGTTTGCAAGAACCGAGTCAATCAATCCTTATATTCATTCCTTAAACACAAAAAAAAAACATAATTTTTCCAGACTCATTTTATAAACTTTTTTTGGAATACGTGAAAAAAAATATATCCCGAAATTCTTTACTAAATCACTAATATGCCCTTATATATTTCGTTGACCATTCGTGTACGAGTATATACGCATGCATAAATAAACTGTAAATTAATAAGTATTCATGTACTAATAAGTATGTATATTTAAATGGATGAAAACTAACCTAAGGAGTGATCATAGACTAAACTACTTAGAAATTGTAGAATAAATAGCATCGTATTTTGTGGCATTTCTTGTTGCTACTGTTTCTCGTTCTGAAATTGGTTGGCGGTTTATCGTCGAATCATTTACAAGTACAGCTGATTAAAATATGATGTGCACACCCGACCACAGCGCATTTGATGTCTAATTCTATTTTTTTTTTTTTTTTGTGATCCGGAATCGACTCGGATAACCCATAGTCAATGTGATACTTTCACTAGCACAACTCAGCTGATTTATGTTTGTATGTATAATTCGTGTTTTAACAAATTTATGCTTCATCATTGACGAAAAGTTCTCATAGACACACAAATGTCTGCAAATAATTGTGTTTCGTTTTAATTTAGCTCCTTTTTTTCTCTTCCCTTTAGCGCATTTGCGTTACAATAATAATAATATTACCTACGAAATATTTGGGTATCATATTACATAATTTGCTCTAATTACTTCTATGCTCATATTCGCCGCCATCCTCATCATCATCACCGTCATTTTCTTCTTGTTCGACTAACCTGGCTGCCCTGGCGGCAAAATTCGAAGTTGTTCCACGGCCGCTGCTACGGCGTACCGTAGGACTATCAAGTGCACGACTCCGCGCAATATTGGCCGGTATGCGTACAGTTGCGAAATCAGTATCCTCCTCGAAATCACCATCATCAACATCTTCGTCATCGCCATTCACTGAACCACTGGGACTGCCAGGTGGACTAAGCGCTTGTATTAATTTACCCTTCGATTCGTTCCACAAATGATTGAGACGTTCGCGTCCAAAAAGTAAAAGGAAAGCATCGATAAAATCACGTGATGCTTCCTCCCATTTTGTAATGATATCATCCTTCACTTTGGTCAATTCGCGACGACCGCGAACCTTAAGTTCATCCATTTTATTTTGAAATCTAAACTTCTTCTCCGAAAGGAATGATACATTCAAATCTTTGGCCGAATAGCCACGCGCCAAATTCCTGCGTACATATAAATCGTAGTCCTTGACGATGCGTGCCACAATATCCGATGTGGAAACGCCTGAATGAATAAAACGAAAGAAAAATATAAATGAATTTTTAGTTTAGTCTAAAAAGAAAATTAACAGAAATAAAAAGTGCTCGACGCATGTCCTTAGCGAAATGTCACTTGCAAAATTTTACAGTTAAAAATTCCACCTATAGTTTTGACGAGCTCCAATAAGATCTGCTTCGTTTACACAACAGTCGTTTCTACGTAACCGGAACGATCTAGTCGAAATATCTGGACAAGGACTATTACTTCAGCAAAACTCGCCTAAACTGCTTGGGAAATTTGTATGCTGGTACAACCACAACACCATCAACATTGTCTCAACCTTTTGTGATCACAGAAGTTGCCGATGGAGCCCATGTCCCTCTAACTTCTCGAAACTAATCAACTTGCAGTTGTGTGTTGGAAAACTCGGTTAACAGTAAATGAGTACCCTCTGGATCTCTTCTATAGCTGACGGTTCCTAAGGAATCTAAAGCCGAGCCCACATATGCAAGGCAATGGCCCATTTTCCCACTAATTCCAGTGTGGTTCCCGTGCAAACCCTCTCCTCTCAGGTGTTTCACAGAGCCGTGCTTCTGTCTATGACTACCTCGATTCCTTTTGACTGTTAAAAAATTAAGCGCATGGATGGGTGCCCGAGATTTGGAAACAAAGAATAATTGAGGATTAACAATTCCCAATTCGGATATCAGTTAGATAGGTGGAATAGAAATATTTTTTCTAAGAGCAGTTACTTCTTGTAGACATTAACATACTTTCGAATTTATAGGTTCTATGTAGTAAGACAATCTCGTTTCTTGGATATCTCTACCAAGCTTTCCTTATTTTCGCATATCAACGCGCAGAAATCATAATGCCGAAGAGGCTGAAAGCAATTCAACTCTCTTACCTTCCGTACGTTCAGTGGCCACAAACATGCCTTTGGCCTTCAGTGGTGCGTAAATATCCTCCACACCATTACCAAGGTATGGAATGTCATCGTGTGCAACAAAATCAATTTTATTCGATTCAATAAATTCGTCCGATAGAGTCCAAGGTGCATCCGGTACAATCTATGTATATAAGAAAATCAATTAAAATTACTCAATGCAAATATGTATGTACAGCACTCAATTATAAATAGTTACATGCATACATACATAGGTACATAGGTACACCGGTACAACGGCCGTTAAAAATATATGTACATACATATGTATGGCAATTTTGTAATAACGAATAATTACAATTGATCATTTAGATGCTTACTTCATCCACATAACGGCAGTGACGTAAAGCCTCGTAACGTTCTTGATCATTCATGACGGTACGCCCCTTCATGCGGTGTGTTAGTTCATCGTTGCACACACCCACAATTAAGTAAACATTCGGAAAAATGTTCTTTGCTTGCATTAGCTGTCTGGCGTGACCTTGATGGAAGAGGTCATAAATGCCATCGGC